AACACAAATTAATATAACAAGATCTCAAATGACATAAATAAACAACATTAGATATTTTTCGTCTGAGCTGCGTGCTTCCAAATATAGGAAAAGCATAAAAGGTAGACTAATCGCACACATATACACACAGACTTTTGGGACACTTACCTTTAATAAGTGGTCTTCATGCTATTACTGCTCATGCATGGACGAGGCATCATTCCATTGATCAAAATTTCTCATACATCTACATACAGCCTTCAAACTGTGGAGGAGGGGAAACCTACAGAGAAAAAAATAACAGAATGCATTTAAAAACACAAGCATTAAAAAAAAGGAGTACAAAATGTATATATTTGTATGTCAGAATTATGTCAGGAAAACATCTGAAGCACTTAAAAATTGTAAGCAAGTTTCAAATTTCGATATATTAAAACGACAACACACACAGTCATGTTGTTTGTCAGTTCATTACAGCTGTTACAACAAAAATGTTACAATGGGAGCTCAATTTTTGCTTCTTTTGACATATCTTTACAAATGATCCTGGTCTCTAATGCTCCAAAGTTTTCAACATTAATTCATAATGTCTTAATTCAAAAATGGGAAACTTACAAAAACGGTTATGAAAAGCATTAATTGTTGCATAAAAATGTGCAATAAACAAGCGTCAAATCAAACATTTCTTGTGTATTCAGCATATACAATTTGGATCCAAGTACTATCAGATAAAATTAATAAAAGTATAATTATAAATTAAAACAGCATACCTTAATTAACTAGTCATTTCTTTAAATTATAATTACATAATAAAATAACCTAATAATTAATATTAAAGAACAGCATATATGCATTTAAAGTGTAATAATTTCCTGTAGCAGGTTCTTATACATATTATTGTTAGCCCTGCCTTAATTATGTTAAACATGCAGAATGTGTACTATCAACACTGAAGTCTTAAATATAAATTTCTTTTTCCACATTTTATTAAAGTAAACTTCAAAACATTATAATGACATAAATACAAAGACATTTTAGATGTCAGAGATATGAATTGCCATTCCCATGTCTCATTTTATTTGTAAGTTGATCTAAATAAATAAATACATTGATTAATTGCTTACAGCAAAGAATGAGAACTTTTAACAAAGACATTTTAAGTTCTTTTGCACCAAAAAATGATCACAGATCTTTAAGATAAGATAATAACTGACCGATAGGAACATTGTAGAACTGTGGCCGTTTAGACTAGAGATGCGTTTTGGGCGATCGGATCACAAGTAGACGAGGGAGACACCTTTACACCTGGTGTTTCGTCTCTTTTGTCCACTTTCTGTACTGATTTCTTCAAGAGGAGGGTCTATGGGTGGGTAAATGTATGGCCGTTCTCAGATCTTTCCATCTAATAGACAAAATAAGCTCACGAAATTTACATATGAGCTCGCCCCGATATGACAGAAAAACACACAGAGCTTCAGCTTTCATTCTTGCGCTGAGAGCTGAAGACCACGTCGAACGCCATGAGTGAGTGTTAGACATCAGGAATGGTGAGAATACATTTTGTGCTTGGTACGTTTTTTTTTATCTTTAAACCAAACTTGGGTCTTCAGCCGACAAAGTTTAAATCCCATCAGGCTAGAGTACTTCCCATAATGTTTACGCATTAGGTCAGAAGGTGGAGAGAAGATGGTCTTTTGTGGCTGATCGAACGCATATGACCACATGAGCGTTTACACAACAAAATCAATCTGGTCGAATGCGTTTTCAATTACCTTTGGATGTAGTTGACAGTGGACAAAGTTTAGACTCCATTTACACCTGTATTTAGCGCTGTCCACATGTGATCGTCAAAAACGTATCTTAATAGCCTACCAAGTGTTAACAGGGCCAGTGTGTTCTTTAAAAACATGACCAAACACAATCACAATCAACAATATCAATGATAAACCTTGGTAAACTTTGAGCCTGTATAGAAGCCTAGTATACGCATAAACATCTTCGTTCTGGGATCAGCCATGGGAACGTAAGCTCATTCGATTTGCTCCAGCAGGTGTGAACTGCTGGCCTCAGCATTTTCCCCAACTGAGACTCACTTTCTAGGGCACAATCCCTCAAAGCCTGTTCACTACACCACACGCATACACAGACACGCCAACTCTCGCACGCACACTGATTTTGTCCTCCTGAAGAACGCTTTGCGCTCTTCTAAGCTATGCTAAGCGCCCCACAAGGACAGACCACACATATTTAACACATCAACAGGAACAGAAATTTGCTCCAGACTTATGCAGTCATTTCCACAAGACCAGCTCTGAATGTGCTGCAGTCAGACCATATCATGTTCAATTGACACCTCAGATCTCAATGACGAACCAATTTCGGAATTTCTTGTCTTCAAAGGTTGTTCTGATCAAGCCGTTATGTTGACACCCAACATTTGGTCGAGTTACCCTATATTTTACGGTCTTATAAAATTCTTGATTATGATTGGTCATGTGCGGCAATTAGCGGTCTGAAATTTCCTACGATTCACTCTCGTTCATGGCATCACTGTTCTCTCTCTCGTTTCATACAAGCACATCTGGTGCCATCTTGCATCTCATGTATCGATGATTGTAAAAGTGACCTCATCTTAATTTCATTGTTTTGTAAATAATGGAGTATTTTCGAGATTTAGTCAGGTTAGCGGCATTTATTTATTTTTTTGACAGTGAATGAAAACGAGGCTGTGAGGGATAAACTATATGTTCAATGGATTATACTGTTATTTAAAGGGTTAGTTCACCCAAAAAAAAAAAATTAAGTCATTAATTACTCACCCCCATGCTGTACCAACCCCGTAAGACCTTCGTTGATCTTCGGAACACAAATGAAGATATTTTTGATTAAATTTGAGAGCTGTATCACTACCACATAGGCTGCCTAAGGGAATGAAACTTAACGGCCCAGAAAGTCAATGAAGAAAATTTTTAAATATTCCACGTGACAACAGTGGCTCAAGTATAAGTTTATCAAGCGATGAGAATACTTTTTGAGCAAAAAAAACAAACAAAAATAACTATTCCTTTTCTTCCTTGTAGGCCTGAAACAAGACTTCAAGAGATTTCCACAACGCACGCGCGAGAACTGAACTGAAGTAGTTGAAGGAGATCGAAATTCCCACGCACGCGTCATGGAAATCTCTTGAACTCTCGTCTCAGGCCTACAAGGAAGAAAAGGAATAGTCGAATAAAGTTGTTATTTTTGTTAGTTTTTTCGCACAAAAAGTATTCTCGTCGCTTGATAAACTTATAGTTGAGCCACACATGGAATATTTAAACATTTTCTTCATTGACTTTCTGGGCCGTCAAGTTTCATTCCCTTAGGCAGCCTATGTGGTAGTGATACAGCTCACAAATTTAATCAAAAATATCTTCATTTGTGTTCCGAAGATGAACGAAGGTCTTACGGGGGTTGGTATGCATGGGGGTGAGTAACTAATGACTTAATTTTCATTTTTGGGTGAACTAACCCTTTAACAACATACCAATTGTTCAGCTAATTAAATGTATTTCTGAAAAAAATAATTCAGTAGACAAAAACTCAAATAGTTTTGAAAGTTAGTTGTGAAAATTACATGATCTAGGACCTTTATGCAGTGTGAGCAATTGTAAAGACTGCAAGTCTATTCCTCACAGTCTCGGTTTCATCCATGTTAAATTCAACAATTCAGACTAAAGCTTTAACTGGTATTTTTTGTCATTTCCTAATTAAATAAATTTAAATAAAACTCTAGAATTAAAACGACACATTCAAGAAATCTGCTAGGTTTTTCCCTCCCGACATGCACAAATCAACAATCTAATTGCTTAGAAAAATAATAGTAGGACATCCTATTACTACAAACTATGATCACATTCACTTTCAAAAATAAAGGTTCCAGGTTTTTAGTAGAGAAGAACCATTTATGGTTCCCCAAAATAACATTTCAGTGAACAGTTCAGTTCAGCAACTTTTTAAAATTTGAAATCAAGTTCTTGAAACCATAGATGACAATACAGAAGCTTCATTTTCAAGAGTGGTATTAAAATGTTCAAAGGTCCTGGTGGAGCACATAGAGATCTGTGAAGTGGGACATTGATTGTCCTCTCTTTCTTGCCCAAATATGCACGTCAAACAGCTGCCATTGAAACACAGAGCAATTCACAAACAAACAAGTGCTACAACAGTCAAATGCACACTTAAACCCATTATTAGCCATTCGAATCCAATGAGAGCAAAGAATCAGGGGTAAACAGGTGACGCAAACTGCTGACTGTGATCTCAGGATAGCGAACAATATAACACTATCTCTAATTACACCAGGATGTTCTGATGGGCTTTATTTAACACACACTTTGATGTTGTGAATTCCGTGTGTAGTTTAAAATTACATGCATTACTTGTGTATTGTTGTTTACATCACCATAAAATTCAGACAAACTAGAATAAACAGCTGGAATATTTTGTCCATAAGTATGCAGCAGCACAGTAATGTTACTGTAGCATTAAAGTGCTGGTATCCATTTGTCTGCGCCATCGCTCTCTATGGCTGAAGGGTAATGGATAAGGGTTAATCAATGCATCTTCATCTGACAGACGCTGGGCTGGTCAAGCAGGCATTACCAGGACTCATCACTAACATAATGAGCCATTTCCACTTCAGGATTTACCTCTTGCTGCGTGCCTTTTTTTTCTCTTCTCTCAATCTTTCTCTTCTTCCACAGAGCAATTTATTCATAAATATGAAAAGCCTCTTCAGTCAGCACTTTTCTTTTACAGTAATTTTGAGGCATGTCCAGGGGAGTTCCTCTTTAAATGATTCAGTGTTCTCCTCAGTGGCAGAAGCACTGACTTGGCACTGTGGTTTCAGCTGATTAGGGGGAAACGACTGTGGCTAGTGTCATACTATTTATGGTCTCATCTTTATTTCTGTAGCAGTACCCAAGTCCTGTTTAACATTTACTCACCCTCTTCTCGTTACGACTTTCTTTCTTCTGAAGAGCATGCAAGAAGTTTAGCAAAATGTTATTGCTTCTCTTTTCCAAGCAGCAGAAATGAATTGGGAAGGACGATGTCAAGCTGCAAATATGGCACAAAAAAAGCATGTTAAAAGTCTTCTGAAGATGTATGATATGTGAGGAACAAACTGAAATTCAAGCTTCAAAGTACAGTAGCTCTCACAACTAAATCTATCCTTTTAAAATTTTCATCAAAACACTCAGCTGTGTTACCATAAGATGGAAAAAAATCCATCAGAGTAATACACGTTACTATTCAAATGTTTGGGGTCATTAAGACTTCAAAAAAAATGTAAACATTTCAGTAAAAATATTTTTATAATACAGCAGTTTTTTTTCTAAAAGAATCCATAAATACTGCATCACTGATGCACAAAAATAATAAGCAGCACAACTGTTTTCAACATTTATTATTATAATAAAAAATATTAAGTAATTTAATTAGTAATTTCTTAAGGATTTGTGAAGCTTAATCATCACAGAAATAAATGACATTTTAAAATATTTTAAACTAAGTAATTTTAAATTGTATTTTCACACAATATTACTTTTAAACAGTAGTTAATTAGTTTGTAATTAATGAAATTAATTAAGATGTAATTAATCGAGCAAAAAACGTATATATATATATATATATATAAATAAATACACACATGCATGTACACTGAAAAAAATAATATGCTTAATCTAATCAATAAAATTGTGGCAACATATTACAAGCAATATTATTAATTAAATTGTACAAATTAGATTAACTATTACTCAATTCTAATTTGTTCAATTTAATAAATAATATTGCTTGTAATCTGTTGCCACAATTTTATTGATTAGATAAAGCATATTCATTTTTACAGTGTATATTTAAGAAAAAAATATTATAAAATTATATATAAATCTATATACATTATATACAATATTTCTTAAATATATACAAGCATACATGTGTATTTATATATATATATGTATATATATAATTATACACAGTGCACCCATATATATTATGTAAACACAAACTTTTATTTTGGATGCGATTAATCGCAATCAATCGCAAAAACATAACTTTAATAGTCTTTTATTTAATCCAGTTAAATCTGAGCTTTTCCACAGTTTGTAAGGTAATCTACAGTCAAACTAATGAACATATTTAAACTGTATAATTAAAAAAAATCCCTTTAAATTCAGAGGGGAAGAATGGAACAATTTTACACAACTTGTTAGCATCCTAAAAAAAACTGTGAATAACGTAATTCTAAAGTCCACTGAGGTCAATGGATTTGTTATTTGCATAAACCACATAGACTGAAAATGGGCATCAATTTTTTTTTTTTTACTGCACTGCACACATGGCCAAGTACGCCGTCCTAAACTCCAGGCTAAGTTTATAGTGTTCTGTTCAGCAGATGAAGTGGCAGTCAGGCAGGCCTGTTTCTCTTCTTCAGTGCTGAACTAAAAGTGAACTCACTCTGCTATATATAAATACAGCTTTGCAGCCAATCAGTGGCGTGGCTCCGGGGCATCATCTTGCTGCGCTGACTTTCCCATTACGATAATGTGAATCTCTCGCTCAGCCTCATAATACTGGCAAGCGTGGATAAAATACTGTCTCCCCTCCGCTCCACGCCGGCCTGCTCCCGCTCCTGCCACACACACACACTGAGAGACTGTCTGTGCATACTAATGAATTTGTGCTTCAGGGCCTTGGGACCAGCAGCGCGCGGCACTGTGCAGGTGTTTCCTGTAGGGGGCGCAATATAAACCTAAATTGGTGAGCTCCATGTCGTCACAAATTGCATTCAGTAGTGGAATGTGGATACTTTTTTTATAGTGTATAAGTGCAAAACATGTTGCTTTTGAGTGCTCTTTGAATGGTACACCAAACATGGTAAAATTCATTTTCTTAATCAGCACTTTTGGTCCTGTTTTCAGTATAACACCAAAACATTATTAGTAGAAGATTCATTTACTTGCACATGATATTTAATTCAATAAGTGTTTATTTTTCTTCCTGAATTTGGCATATATATATATATATATATATTCTCATGATATATTCTCAAAAAAAAAAAACTTACTATGCAATTTTGATTATCTTGAATACCGAATTTTGAATAATTAGGTGTTTGAATAGTTAGAATAGAATAATTCTTAAGTGTAAATGAAATGAAAAGGATGAATAATACTTTTTTGTTCACTAACAATTCAATACAGTATTAATTAATCATCTCCATATCCGTTGTCAGCAGTTAAGTTACATTTAGCTAAATGTACATATAGTTTAAAATCATAATAATCCTATGTATTTGTTATAAAAAATATATAAGTCCAACCTATTTTACTTGCACATTTATTTATTGCAAATTAGAGACTTCGAAAGTGCAGTTAATCTACCAAATCTGTTTTAACACACAGAAAAACTGAGCTTCAGTTCCCATTTTACGCCATAATCTTTTAGAAATCTGAAAGCCAATACAAAAGTGTCCATTACCTGGTCACCTGTACCAACCCATACACTCACACACAGGTAAACTCACGTGCAGAGAAACCCAGACACATACACACACTGCAGTGGGGGTGCAGTTGGGGGACTCGTGGAGCATGAACTGAAAACATGAAAAGAGCGTTTTGATGGGGACACTCTGTTTGCCATTTCTAATTTGTAGGCAGGGGACGAGAATGGGGCGATCACAGCGTGATTCATATTAAAAGTCAATTGGCCTTCAAATTCCTCGGGTCCCCCAAAGTCACTACTGGTGAGAAGGAAATGAGTCTTAATGGAGTGGCAGTGCCACAATAAAATATCAGAAATTGAATCTGACCACAAAACTCAATGGTCCAAGCACAGCACCTGAACGACTGACCATTACAGATATGAGATTCTTTCTTTTCGGACCATTTTTTCCTTATCTGTTATTTGGCTATATGGATGTCCGCCGATTCTCTAAAAGTCCTTTAGTGTCCACCTTTCCTCTCTCGCCTTAACATCGGAGCACTTAGCAGTAATCTGTTTCGGCCTCACTTTTAATTTCTCGCATGTCTGCCTGCGCTCTGAGTGCTGGGGTAACTGGGTAGGCAATACAAAGCAAAAGGCCATAAAACCCTCCTGCTGTGTGAGATATATTAACTTTAACCTCATGGTAATTACCAAAAACTATTTAAAACCAACTTTTCCATTTAGGCTACTTTCCGCTAGGTTACTCGTGACAACTGCCCACATTTTAAATGACTATAAACTGACAGGATCAAGAAATTGCAAAGATTCATAAGCGTACACGCAGATGATCATTTTTAACTGTTAGATTAATGTCATATAACTTTGCTAGTATATTTTATTTCGAGAATATCATGACACAGTCCTTCAAATATGAATATACTAAATTATTGAAGTCAGATAACTTTCAATTAAGTTTAATGTATAATATCTAAATTAACATCATGATTCATGATCAAAACTTCATGATAAAAATCTCAAAATTTCATCTCACTTTTCTGGTCATATACATAACATCTGCAGCAAATTACATATTTCTTTGATCGTGAACTCCATATTCGAATATTCATATTTTATCAGTTCACTAAACGTGCATATTATTTTATGCCAGGCTTTAAAGTGAAGAAATTTAATGCCAAATGTTTTTGAAACAAAAAAAGCTTGTTGAATTGCACTACTGGAAAAAAAATTCCATTCCATTTTTAGGGCTTGCATCTTTATGGGCTGAAATTTTAACATGGTTTTATATTTAAGCTGTGAATATTTCAATTCAAAATGTTCGACACAAAATGTTTCGTTTTATTTTGCTTTACAAATTCACTTGCACAAATTCAGTGGTCCAAATTCGACAAAAAAATTTCAAATTATAAATCAGGAAACTGCAGGAATATCAGTAGATTTTCCCCCTGTGCTGCAGTCCTGGAGGTTCCCACGATACTTCATACTCCAGGATTTCCCTTGCCCATACGGAAGTAAAAAATAGCAATATTCACACATGATTTGACCGTTTATTATTTTATTAAACATCAAGAATCTAAAAAGGGTGCATCATGCCTGACACTCTTTACAGTTGCTTTTAAGTAATTCTCTTCAAATGCTATTGAAGTTAGAAATAACGTGTATTATTGTATGTAAATTTAGAGATGGTCCCTTAATTGGGAAACTCTTACATAGCCAAACTTAGCGAGTTTTTCACTGGGAGAGTTTTGGTCTTTTTTTCTCACTGTATTAGTCCATCAAGATACGTTAAACACTTCATACGTCTCAACGGCAAAGGAATCCTGGAGTGTGACATATTGAGGAAACCAGAATATAAAACTAAACAACCGAGATAAATATGTCTACCTCGGATTTAATGTTTGATCTGTACATCAGCATCGGGGAATAACGTTATAATCAGAGGTGCGGACAGAGTACACTATTACTTGAGTAAAAGTACAGACACCCCTTGCTAAATTTTACTCAAGTAAAAGTACTACAGACAGATTAAGTTAAAGAACTGAAGTACTTGTTTTTTAAAAGTACTCGAGTATCAAGAGTACATTTTCTAAATATTGCATTACTACTGCCACAGAGCTTACATTTATGTACAGAAATGAAGTTATGAAAAATGTTAATAGCTTGGAGAATGTAAAAGGAATTGAAAGTAAGTAATTTTCATCTTTTTACCATGTTGCTTTAAAATTTCAGAAAATTTCAGAAAATTCTGAAAATTGAAATAGTCTAGCGAGGTGGGGCCACGAATTGGCACATTCACGGGATGGACCTGCTGTGTCTTCATCCATTGTTTCGTCTCTTATCTAAATCAGACAATGGAGTTGACTTAGAAGGAAAGCTGAAGGTGATTGCTGATAGGCTGTCCCAATCAGTGCCTGCACAATCCAATCACGTTTGAGAGGGAAACATAAAAATTGAGGGTTTTTCTTTTTTTTCCATTTTTTATTTTATTTTTAGAAGTAGTAACAGGTACTCACAGTAGATAGAAATGTAGTGGAGTAACGAGTACAATATTTCCCTCTCAAATGTACTTGAGTAAAGTCATGAGTACTCCCCAAAAATGACACTTGAGTAAA